TTGGACGAGAGAAAGAGAGAAAAAAGAAGAAGAAGAAAATAAAAAACACCAAGGGGGAGCAAAAATCTCTAAACCGTGCCATTAGACTGTCAATTACCGTTGCGACCGTGCTCCATGCTTAATGACAGACGTCCAAAAATCGGCCGTTTCGACATTTCGCTGGCTATTCAGTCTCTCGAATCTAATTGCGACCGTCTCTCGAATCGTTTCCCATCTCGCGACCGAAATCCAACCCGATCTAACCTGTTAATCTTCCCCCCTCGAATTACATTTTACATTTAAACGTAGATGAATACAAGAAACAGATAAACCTTCACGATCGTATCTCGCGTACACAGAAGAAAAATACGTATTCGCCAAAAAGTCAATTTCTCCACAATATTTATTTCCCTTCTCAACAAGGATTATTAACGTTTCTACCGTAATTGCCGAGAAAGAAAATGTATCGTCATACCGACGATCGAATCGAGGGGGGGGGTTAATTAATCGGGGAGAAGAAACGAGGAGAATGACGATGATGATACGCGTGCCACGATTATCGCCGTGAATTTTCGATGGAAGAAAGAGAGAGAGAGGATGGTAGGAGGGAGGGGGAGGCGCAAAAAGACGGGGAAAATTAGTGACGCTTCTGTCAGCCGGCTTCTTAAGTGCCCGCTTAAACTTTTGTTGCTCCGTGTACACGCTTCGCCTCTCGAGTGACTCGGCGCCTTTTCGCCGCGGAGGCGCCGACCACACCTCGGGCGCCACGACGGCCAACGACGATCCCCCGGCGAGTCCCCTCTTCTTCTCAACTATCGCCTATCAGGTGAGGGGTGGCCAACGACTTTTCAACGGCGGACTTTATTGCCGTTCGTCCACGAATTTTTAAGCAAGTTTCTTCGCGATCCGAGCGAAGGTCAACGAGTAGCGGTAGCAGGCGAGGGATGCGTTTAGAGAGATGAATGGCTCGGCGATGAATTTCTCGAAGCGTCACCTTAGGAGGAGGAGGGGGAGGGGGAGGAGTGACAAATGACTTTTCGATGTATCGATATACACCCTTTCCTTTTTCTTTCGACCGTGAATTTTTTATCGATTTTTCTTCGCTTTCGTTGTAACGAGTAATTAAAAGGACGTGATACAAAGAGGTTTTTTAGGGTTTTTGGGGTTCTATATTTTTCCCTTTGGATTAGATTTTTCAACGATGGATAATTTATTTGGAACGAAATTATTTGGCGAACGAAAATATTGCCACGCTTCTTTTTCTCACGTTAATGAAATAATTTTTGTATTAGTTATTAATTGATAATGATAAATATATTTAAATTTCAGAGGACTTTAAAAAAAATCGAAGCGTGCCGATACTTTTTTTCGATGAAAAAATTGTTGGCGAGCGAGTTTCGATATCGGCGTAATTTCGACGCGTATGCACTTACGTCGGCCATTAAAGACGAAGTTTCGATTTCGATTCAGGAGATTCGGGTGCGTGAGAGGAAACGTTCGGATGCCCCCGGGACGTGACTCGTAATTCTAGAGTATTATGCGGTAGCTCGATGCCGCTGCTATCCACTTTGCCTTACGTTTTTCGAAATCGTTACCCTCTCGTTCTCGCCCTCTCTTTCACTCCTCGAATCTCCCCTCTCGCGAAGAAACCGACCTCCGTTTCGATCTTGAAACCATTCCACTAATATCTCAGAGAACGATAGAGCGATGGAAATGTGGAATTTTTCACTCCTCGAATCTCCCCTCTCGCGAAGAAATATATCAGACAACGATTGAAATGAGGAATTTTCATCCGAGTTTTTCTTTTTTTCACTCCTCGAGAATCGAATCTTTTCTCGCGAAGAAACCCTTTCGATCTTCGTTTCGATCTCGAAACTATTCGACCGATATCTCAGAGAACGATAGAGCGATGGAAATGTGGAATTTTCATCCGAGTTTTTCTTTTTTTCACTCCTCGAGGATCGAATCTTTTCTCGCGAAGAAATCGTTTCGATCTTCGTTTCGATCTCGAAACGATTCGACCGATATCTCAGAGAACGATATATTAGAGAACGATGGAAATGTGGAATTTTCATCCGAATTTTTCTCTCTTTCACTCTTTGAAAATCGAATCTTTTCTCGCAAAAAAACCGATCTCCGTTTCGATCTCGAAACAACTAATATATTAGAAAATAGTAGAACGATGGAAATGATGAATTTTCATCCAAATTTTTCTTTTTTTCAAAGAAGAATGTGAAAAGAGGGAGATAATTGAAACGTTTCGTTTCGATGATCGAAAATTGCAATGATCGTTTTCGAAAAGAGTGAAAAGAAGAAATGGAGGGAGGAGTTCGAAGTGATTAGATTACCTCTAATCTGTACAGACATGACGTCGATTCGTCTAAACGGGAAAATACATAAAATTCCAGCGGGATTAACAAGGGTTAAGGGTTAAGGCCGGCAACTAATTAAAGTAGTGAGGCTTCCTCGGTGATTCGTTCGATAAATCCAATCACGACCTCCATCCTAAATCCATCGCGGATACATAAATCACGAGTCGCTCCTATTTCAATTAGAACGCGAAGCGATTTCTAAACGATTTCTAAACCTATTGCTATTGGATACACGAATCCGTTCGTTCACTGAAAATAATATCGAATTTGATTCAAATTTCGCGCGATTGGAATTAGAATTTTTAGAAGAGATTCTCTAGACAGGTGAAAGAAGAAAAGCCTAACAATTTCATCAACGTTCTTTCGACGACGATTCTTATTTCCCTATATATATATATATATAGCTTCGACAATCTTCGAGTTTTCGACATCTTGGTTTATCAAGCAAGGATTGGCTCAAATACCAAAACGGTCGCGTGTGCGCGCCGTTTATGGATGCACCGAGTCGATGCACGATCGTGCACGCAATTAGCCGATAAACGGGGAGCGAGCAACGGTAACGAGTCCTAATGACTTCTAAATAACAACCGACTATGTTTGCCGCGGTGGAGAAAAAGTGGCGTATCGCTTATCGAGGAGTGGACGAGGCAATTTGAGCCGGGGCAGTGATCGATTTCGCGGAAAACACGTACGCCCGAGGAAATCACCGTGACTCGGGTTTTAAATGGTCGATCAGGGATTTCAGGAACGGCGTAAATACCGGTACGAGCGTTCATCACGAGTGCTTTTTCGTTTCGCGATCTTGTTTACTCTCGTTTTGTTTATCGGCATTATCGCTCAACGTTGATTCGAATCTTTCCTAGAATCGTTTCTGAAGTATTTGTTTATTTTCTAAGACGCGTAGCGGATGAATCATCGCTTTGAAACGCGTTTTGGAATATAATTATTCGTAAAGAATTAATATTAGCCGAAAGTATGATTGTGAATAATTTTTCCACTATACGTAGATATACATGTAGATATGTATATCTATGTATAGTCTTTGATTTCTAAGATTTTTCGCAATAAAAAAAGGAGAGAGATATCTGTATCGCGTTAAAAATTTAACAAACTTCTGAAAATTCGACTTAATTTTTAAACTATAATAATTACCAATCGCGCGTATATAACAAAAAAATTGTTAAAAATCCACGTGATCGCCAACACGTTCGCCAAAATTAAAAAAAAATTCTTCATTCTTCTCTGGATCATCTACTTTAATCTAATCTAATCGAATCTAATCGAAATTTAACTTAATTTCTAAACTATAATAATTAAAATTCGCGCGTATATAAAAATTATTAAAAATCCACGTGGTCGCCAATAGGTTCGCCAAAATTAAAAAAAAATTCTTCATTCTTCTCTGGATCATCTAATTTAATCTAATCTAATCGAATCTAATCGAAATTTAACTTAATTTCTAAACTATAATAACTAAAATTCGCGCGTATATAAAAATTATTAAAAATCCATGTGGTCGCCAATAGGTTCGCGAAAATTAAAAAAAAAATTCTTCATTCTTCTCTGGATCATCCAACTTGATCTAAATTAATCTAATCTAATTGAAATACGACTTATTTTCTAAATTATAATAACTAAAATTCGCGCGTATATAAAAATTATTAAAAATCCATGTGGTCGCCAATAGGTTCGCGAAAATTAAAAAAAAAATTCTTCATTCTTCTCTGGATCATCCAACTTGATCTAAATTAATCTAATCTAATTGAAATACGACTTATTTTATAAATTATAATAACTAAAATTCGCGCATATATAAAAATTATTAAAAATTCATGTGGTCGCCAATACGTCCGCCAAAATTAAAAAAAAATTCTTCATTCTTCACTGGACCATCCAACTTGATCGAAACTAATCGAATCTTATCGAAATACAACTTATTTTCTAAATTATAATAACTAAAATTATAATAACTAAAATTCGCGCGTATATAAAAATTATTAAAAATCCACATGGTCGCCAATAGGTTCGCCAAAATTAAAAAAAAAATTCTTCATTCTTCTCTGGATCATCCAACTTGATCTAAATTAATCTATNTTTAATCGAAATACGACTTATTTTCTAAATTACAATAACTAAAATTCGCGGGTATATAAAAATTATTAAAAATCCACGTGGTCGCCAACAAGTTCGCCAAAATTAAAAAAAAAATCTTCATTCTTCTCTGGATCGTTATAATTCAATATAATCTAATCGAATCTAATCGAAATTTAACTTAATTCTAAACTATAATAACTAAAAGTCGCACTTATATAAAATTTGTTGAAAATCCACGTGATCGCCAACAGGTTCGCTAAAATTAAAAAAAAAATTCTTCATTCTTTTCTGGATCATCAAATTTGATTTAAATTAATTTAATCTAATCAAATCTAATCGAAATTCGACTTATTTTATAAATTATAATAACTAAAATTCGCGCATATATAAAAATTATTAAAAATTCA